GCTAGGTACTTGTCTGGGAGCTGGCAGAATCGGAATGCACTAACATTTATTTTTTGGACCAATGAGAGAACCAAATTCTCATGCGTCCGAGAGGATCATGCGTCCGTATCAATTCGTCATGCGTCCCTATCAATTGCCTTACTATACTTAGGAGTTAATATATAGTAAATAGAAGCAATAAGTATATTAATAGTTTATTATTATATAGATATTATAATTATAATTTATTAAAGTATTAATAAGAGTATTTTTATTAACTTTAATTATTAATATTATAAAAAGCTTACTTATATTATATTCTAATTAAAACTATTCCTAACTAGCTTACTCTTCCTCTATTATCTTTAATACCTAATTTCACACTAAAGTTATTTATTTCTTAAGTTAGAAATATTTTCTTCTTTTTTAATCTCCTCTAAGTTTAAGTATATTATTTCCTTAATAGCTTTTACTACTCCAAGATTATCCTTTAACCTCTTAGCTTTTTAATAGTCTTTTTATAAATAGCTAACCTAGTTATACTTAAAACAACTATATATTTCCCTACTAAAGCCCTTACTTATTCTTTTATATAAAGTGCGCATTAACCCTATTATCTTAATATCTTTATTTATATCTACTTTTAGAAATAATAACTTTATTCTAAAAGTTATAAACTAGTATAAAATATTGTAAATATAGTATAATCCCTCTAGTTGATAAGTAATATCTTATATAAAGCTTATATATTTAGTATACTTATAGGGGGTTACGTAGTTAACTAGATAATTAAGGAGCTTATATAATAATACTTTATATAGGTAATTAATTTAAATACTATCTAAGTAAGTTATACTACTTACCTCTATAATAATGTATTTAAAGTAAGGAAAAAATAAAGTAAAAGCTTTATTATGCTTTATTTTAAGCTTTAATAGCCTTCTAAGAGCTTTATTTTCTATATTTAGGTTACTATAAATATAGTTTAGGTATACTAAGAAGGTATTTAGCTTAAATAAGCTATTACTACCTCTTAAGCTATAGAAAGTTATAACTACTAATTATACTTTAGGTTTTAAATAGGAGTTAATTAGATATTATACCTTTTAGTTATTTAAGTAGAAAGCTTAATCTATCCTAATCTTATTATATATCTATTATACTTATATAGTATACTTATTATAGCTTCTTCTAAACTTAGGGGGGTTAGAGAGAGGCTTTAAATACTAAATACTACTTATTTCCTAAGTAATATCTAGTTTAAGGAGTAGTAGTACTAGTAGTAATACTAGTAGAGTTACTATAAAGTTTAGTATTATTAATACTAAAGCGTTACTAACTATAGTAGTTTATATTAGATCTATAACTAGCTTATTATTAACTTACTATAGAACTATTAGGTTATTAAGTTAGTTATTAAGCCTATTAATAGCTATATAATTTACTTTAAACACCTCTTTATTTACTAATATTAATTTTAAGCTAGCTATTTTTAGCCTAATTAGCTCTATTTTCTACTTACTATTTATTATACTATATAACTGGTAAGGTAAGTATTTAAAAAAGCTTAGATATATAAGGGGCTAGCCCTTAATTTATTTAACTTAGAGGTGCTTTAATTATAGTAATCTAAGCTAAAGAAAGGAAGTTTTCAGGATACTCTTTATGTAGAAGAAAAATAGGTATAAGGTGCCTATTAAGTAAATATAGTTACTAAAGGTAGAATTCCTAGTAGTCTATAGTATTACTTAGATATAATAAGTAGGTATAGCTTATAACAGCCTCTATATATATTAATACTAAACTATAACTCTATTATATACTTAAGCTATTTAAACTTTACTAACTACTTAAATAAATATATATTAAAGTACTTAATATAATTTATTATAATCTCTTAATTAGAGAAGGTAATAAGAAACTATATAAAAGAAACACCTTTATTAATGTTATAATTAGCTTAAGTAGTAATTAACTATAGTTATCTTAAAGATAAAATAAGCTAAGATAATATCTCTAATAGTATCACTAATACTAATAAGAGTATATAACTCTCTATTAATTAGATTAATAACTTCTTATAGTTTACTTTACTTCTATTATCCTTAAAGTAAAATAATATATATATAACTACTAAAGTAGCTAATATAGTAGCTAGACTTATTAGTATTCTATATTTTAAAGAACTTAAATTTATAATCTTAAACTATAGCTTTATACTAATTAAAGAAGTCTTAGATTAATACTAAATTAAACTTAATACCTTTTTAGTAAACTTTAATAAGTTTAATCTTTAATCTTTTCTAAAACTCTAAGTAGTTAGACTTCTAAGATCTTATAAAGTACTCTAAGATAAAGCCTTTACCCTAGCTAGCTTAGAAGGTATTAGCTATTTCTTTAATAATAACTAGAGTTACTAAGAAGCTAGTAGTATTAAGCTATATTATAAGTACTATTAAAGCTAAGTCTTTAGCTTCTATTACTACTTTTAGCTAGCTACCCTCTTAAGGTAGTATAGAGAAGTTATAACTAACTTCTAAAGTTTTAAGATACTTCCCTACTACTATATAGGATACTTTATAATTAATAGTAATAGCTTAAATTAATAGTATAATAATTAGAGGCTTCCCTAAATGCTCTAGCTAGAAAGCTTATTAATATAGGGTGTATAACGCTTATATAGCTTATTTAGTAGGCGTTAAGTTAGTATCACTCTAATAAAGTATTTTAGTAGCTAAGATTAAGAGAAATAATTAAAAAAAGCATAGTTTTAGGTTATAGCGTAGTCTTAAAAAAGATATTTTTAGTAGTAAAACGAGAAAAACGCAACTTTTATACAACTAGCTAGAAACCCCCTTTTTTGCGTGGAAACCCCGTTTTTTCGCCCCCTACGTGAGTAGGGGAGGTTCACGTAGGGGAAGTTTTGCGCTTGACGTGGCTGACTAACGCCCCCGGGTAGACACAGTAGCGCCTGATAGCGGACGGGCTAGGTTCTGTTTGTTTATGTGGACTGTGGAAAGGTCCAGAAGCTATGGAGTGTTTGTGCTGCCTCTCGTCGGTGTTTTGTCTGCCGTGCCGGAAGGAAAAGATAATTTGGGCTTGGCCGGAGACTTGGCCGACAATTGGCCGGGAAATGGACGGGGGTCCAGATTGCCAGGAACCCCGCCCTTCCTCTCCATGGCAGCCACCCGCCAACACATCTGCTGGCGTTGTCCACCGTTGGGCACGGCAAGGCCCTGTACCTAAGTTGACCCCTCCTGCCAAATTGGCTCTCGGGCTTCCATTCACCTCAGGGTAGGAGGTACCTTGCTTCCATTAGGTACATTACCCAGGTAGGCGAGGCATCGTACAGAGAATGACACCACCTGGCAGGAACGCGGAAAGTGAGGTGGCCTCAGGGAGGAGCACGAATGCTTTGCAGACTGGAAGCTGGAGGTATCCGTAGCCATATCCATGCCGCTGGATGGTGACCTTCAGCAGTGGGTTATGGAAGTTTAAGTGGAAGGAACCTTGACCTCGCAGACCAAGAGTTGATTGACCCCACTTGTGCACGAGACAGAAGTGCACTACACACTCTACCGACTTTTGGATTGTGCCTGTGAATGGAGAAAAAAAAAACACAAAGGCGGCGAGCAGCGACACCACCTGCCACCTCTGGAGTTGGACCTTACCCGGTCGACTACCTTAGCCTACGATATCCCCTCAGCCTTGCACCACTGCACAACCTTCCTCCTACTCCTCCTCTCTCTGCTCGATCATCCTACGACGACCTGCGATTCGCCCCCAAGGCCAAGAACAGCATATCGCCTGCTCCCCGCCGACATTCGCTGGCCCGCCTCGTGCTCGTCTCCGACCAAAGTACCCCTCGTGTGTGTGCACATTGAACCTCCCAACGCATCCGATCACCAATTCCCTCTGCCTAACGTATCGATCCGAACCGGGCCATGGGTCTCCAGTAGCTGCGTCGCCGCTTCCACGTCGAGCAAGAATGCTGAATGCACAGCTTCAAGCGCTGCCAGAATTATAGCAGCACATTTGCACCAAAAAAAGAATTAGCCAGTTTTTTGGCCCTTTGACTTTTCTCCCCGCGATATTTATTCCATCCGACGTCTCTGAGCCACATTGCTTAGAATATGGACGCTCAGGTACGTTTGCAGCGCATGTGCGATTGCCGAGTAGCTCGTGGTTGGGCTGCCATAGAAAAAAAAAACATATGGCCTCCTCGTCTGGTGCCCCGCCATTTTGGATCAGCAGCATCGTCACCGCATCCTCCCACCACTGCCTCACCTCCGCCGACCGCGGTTGATGTTTGTTGACTGCTTCTGCCACGGCAACCCACTCTCCCCCGCTTCGGCAACCCTGCAAACCAGACGATGGCCATCATGACTTGACCTGAGCTGACCCAACCTTGTTCAGATCGAGAACGCTGTTGAGGCAGCGTTCAACCCCACCGGCAACCAAGACCTCAAGCAACAAGCCTTCGAGTACCTGAACCAACTGCGAGTCGATCCCCAGGCCTGGCAGGTCTGCACCACCCTCTTCGCCCGAACTCCGAGACCTTCCGAAGTCGTTCGTCTGTTCTGCCTCGAGGTGGTCAACTATGCCGTCCATGCCCAAGGTCTCGACCGTCAGAGCCTCACATGGCTGAAGGACATGCTCCTCGATTACGTCCGGAACATGTACAATGGCTCCCAGCAGGACCAGATCGACCCGGCCCACTTGCAGAACAAGCTATCGCAGACCCTCACGTACTTGTTCGTCTTCTTGTACAACGACGGTTGGGACTCCTTCATCGACGACTTTCTTGCCGTTGCCAGCAGTCCGAACAACACCGCCGGCGTCGTCCTGTACCTGCGAATCCTCGGCTCCATCCATGACGAGATTGCCGACATGCTGTTGACCCGCAACAGCAACGACGCGAAGCGCAACACCGACCTGAAGGACCAGCTGCGTGCGCGCGATGTTCAAAAGGTTGCCCAGTCCTGGAAGGACCTGCTGTCACAGTACTCGGGACAGAATGATCACATAGTGGAGATGGTTCTGAAGGTTATTGGCAAGTGGATTAGCTGGATGGACATCTCCTTGATTGTCAATCAAGACATGCTCGGCCTGTTGCTTCCTGTTATTGGCCGGACAAACAACTCCGGCAGCGAGGACAAGGTCAGGGACGCTGCCATCGACACCCTCACCGAGATCGTGGGCAAGAAGATGAAGGGCCCCGAGAAGATGGAGCTCATTTCCTTCCTCAACTTGCGCGATATCGTGTCCCAGCTTATCGCAAGCGCTCCTTTGGCCGACCTGAAGAATACCCCTCAATACGACACCGATCTCGCGGAGGCTGTCGCCAAGCTCGTCAACACCGTCATGGCAGACATTGTGCGCGCACTAGAGGATGGCCAAGCAAATGAGAACACGCGAGCCAAGGCCGAGCAGCACTTGCACGATTTCCTCCCCTTCCTGTTGCGCTTCTTCTCCGACGAATATGATGAGGTCTGCGCGACCGTCATTTCCTCGCTCACCGACCTCCTCACTCTCCTCCGCAAGGTCGGCGCAAACCTTCCTCCCTCTTACAAGGAGATGCTCCCTCCCATCCTGAACGCCATTATACTCAAGATGCGGTACGACGAGACCTCCAACTGGGGTGACGAGGACGAGCAGACGGATGAGGCAGAGTTCCAGGAGCTGCGCAAGAGGTTACAGGTCCTTCAGAAAACCGTTGCGGCCGTCGACCAGGACCTCTACATTGAGGTCTTGAGCAACCTGGTTTCTCATACCTTTACTGACCTCGACCAGCGAGGCTCCAATATGGACTGGAGAGACCTTGACCTAGCGCTTCACGAGATGTACCTGTTTGGTGAACTGGCGTTGCCGAACCAGGGGCTGGGCACGAAGAGCCAACCGAACAGCACAGCAACAGAAAGACTTACCATCATGGTGACAAAGATGGTTGAGTCTGGTAAGTCATCACCCCTTCGTTTTCGGTGACATCAAGCTGACCCCAGTAGGAATTGCTCAGTTCCCCCACCCCGCCATTTTGCTCCAGTACATGGAGATTTGTGTCCGGTACTGGCAAGTGTTTGACGCCCGGCAAGAATACATCCCGCAAGTTCTCGAGAACTTTGTGCGGTTGGTACATCATGACCATGTTCGTATCAAGACACGATCCTGGTACCTTTTCCTCAGATTCGTCAAGTATCTCAGGGCCCAGGTCGGCAACGTTGCCGGGACCATCATTGAGGCCATTAGCGACCTCCTCCCGATCAAGGCCGAGGTTTCTGAAAATAACGGAGACGATGACATGTCTTCAGATGAGTCCGATCACTCCGCGGACGCTCTGTTCACCAGCCAACTGTTCCTTTTCGAAGCCATTGGCTGCATTGCTTCGACTGGAAGCACACCCGCAGATAAACAGGCCTACTATGCCCGGCTGGTGATGTCTCCTTTGTTCCGTGACATGGAAGCCCACTTGCCCAAGGCGAAGGCTGGCGATGCTCAAGCCATTCTCCAAATCCACCACATCATCCTGGCCCTCGCCGGCCTGGCTCACGGTTTCTCCGACTGGACTCCTGGCAGCAACTCGGCCCAGCAACGACCTCCTCCAGACAAGCTCGTATCTGATGAGTTCTCGAGGGCTGCCGAAGCCATCCTGATTGCACTCCGCGAGCTCAACGGCTCCGCCGATATCCGCACCGCTTGCCGAGCTTCGTTCAGCAAGCTGCTCGGAGTTCTCGGGTCTGCAGTGCTTCCTCAGCTCCCTCAGTGGATCGAGGGATTCCTCTCACAGAGCTCATCCAAAGACGAGATGGCCATGTTCCTGCGATTGCTGGACCAGATCGTCTTCGGCTTCAAGACCGAGATTTATGACGTCCTGAACCTGCTGCTCACCCCCTTGCTGCAGAGAATCTTCGCCGGCCTATCGGAGCCGGTGACGGGCACAGACGACGAGATCCAACTCGGAGAGCTACGCAGGGAATATCTGTCCTTCCTGCTGGTGATCCTCAACAACGAGCTGCAGTCGGTCTTCATCAGCGAAGCCAACCGGGCCTTCTTCGAGACAATGATCACCTCCATTCTCACCCTGGGGCGCACCCTGGTGGCCGAAAACATTGGACCCAGTCGCCTCGCGTTCAGTGTGTTGGCTCGCATGGTCGTCGTCTGGGGCGGCCCCGACGTCGCCAAGATTTCGGACAATCCCTCGCCCCCGAGCGGTTCGGCCAACCCATCCATCCCGGGTTTCGATCGGTTCATGATCGACCGCTTCCACCCGCTCTGCTGGGAGGTGTTCCAGGACCCGAACTTCAGGCCGCACAAGGATGCTCAGAGCAAGCAGGTGCTCAACGAGATTGCTGGGCTCGAGCAGGCCATCTATGTCAAGACGGGAGACATGTTTATCCAGAACCTCCAGTCGCAGTTGTTCCCACACCTGGGCATTGACGGATCCGAGTTCATGCGGTGCATGTCCACGTCGGCGGACAGAAAGGCTTTCTCGGGTTATTTGCAGGGGCTGCTGAAGAGCCGTAGATAGTGGCTCGGCTTATTGCGGTGAGGGGGTGTGAAGGCTTTACAACTATGAAGGACAGGTACAGGGAAGGGGATGGATTTCGGGAAATCTCGTCTTGGCCACTTTTCTTTGTTTACATATCCACTGGCCGCATCGCCTTGGAGTTTAAGGGAGGCATTAGAGATTAAATGACAAATGACAAAAAGACCATGTTCTATGCAAGCTTGCGCTGTTGATTCTCTGGCCTTTGAAAATGTAAGAAGGGGGTTGATAAGCTTCGCTTCGAGTGTTTATAGCATGGAAACGTATCCTCGAAGAAAGTCGGTCTGGCCATCTAGTACTGTCGTCTTGCCAGCCAGTTGTCCTTAAATTCTTTCTCTTTGACTTTGATCTTATAGTACCCCAACGCCAATATCAGCGGCAGGGATAATCAAGGATAAAGATGACGTATGTTATCTCAAGGAGCATTTGTGTTATGAGCCTAGAATACAAGCTCGTCCGTAGGCGTTACGGCTTGCATCTATGATTACACGTATGCTTAGGAATCAAGGAGACCTTTGTTGTCGGGATAAGAAGACAATCATCCCCTCTGTTCGTGCCTGGCCTGAGGCGGGTTTCATCTCGCAGTCAACAGCTTGTATTACATCAAGCATCAATCTGCTAATAATTCATTTGGACATTTAGAACTCACCGATAGTAGCCAACACTTCCGTTCTATCCCGCTCGACAGCTTGCTGCAATGTCATGAAATCAGTTGTTCGGTTTAAATGATTGTCTGACGTGTAGTAGTATCCGCGAACCGACAGCTGGACGGACAAAACATACCAGCCGCCTTTCAAACCATGCCAAGATTCTTCCACTCAACAGGCCGCTGCGAAATCCAAGCCTTTGTCAGTCAGAGATCGAGGCAACAGCCCATCAGAGAACTGCTGCGGGCCTTCTGATCGACATCGGCCTCGACACAGCGATCCCTCACGTCTGGGAAATTGCCAGTTGATAGTCGATCGAAGCGACGGGGAGCAGGCAGGACATGTTCGGGAAGGCATATTTATGGCGGTGAGGGATGGCAACAAGGAACATTATTTGATGTGTCTACGCTCGCATGTAAAATGCTCCTCTCCAAGATACTGGCAGAGAACCACAACCTCATTACCGCTAAACGTTTCTGCCGAGAGGTATTGCAGACCAAGTTAGGTTTTAACAGAGGGGGTCACCTCAACGGATTTTCTTGCTCGCTCGATCTTGCGGTCCTCCTTCAACGGCAGACCAAGTTGCACAGTCTGAATGCCTGGTATTCGAGCTACTCAGGAAAGAGTCAGCTGAAGACAATCCTCTAAGGCTTGTTTGCATGGCTTGTCTTGCTCCAAAACATCAGCAGCAAAATCGATACCGGGGGATCAAAATGATGATCGAAAAACTACGCCGGCTCGAGAACCATCAATATTCGCAGCAGACGAAGTGACCTAGCGTCAACATTAAATATTATCCTCATCATCACTGGGACAGAATTGCTGCACCGTTCCAAAGTCACATGCGTGGTCATCACGATACATTATCTGGTCCGGCTAGGTGCGAGAAGGACTTCGGGAGCGAGCCTGGTCCAGATTCCCTACATTTGGTTTGATGATGATCTCGCTGACTGACAGGTGGCTATGCATGTTCCAAGACTCCTCGAACCGTCGAGACTATTTTTTCTACCAATAGCAGCCTCGCCATGTCCAAGGCGGACATGAAATTGTGACCAAACCGGGCAGCTGCAGCGCTTACACATTAACACGACTCTATAATTGGCTCTTGTATGCCATGAAGCCCAGCTGCATCTATTTGGAGGTAAATGTCAGCCTGTTATCGGTATCGAAAGGAGGACACCCATCTACCACGCCGAGCCTACCCAATAACTTCCCGTCTCTCATTCCAATCTCACTGCTCTCGTCGTCACAGACAGTCCCGCGACTCCATCATTCTGCAACTCCCACCCTGACATCAGCTATGTCTGATCCTCAAATATACACCGTCGGTTGGATCTGCGCCATCACCGCCGAGTTTGTTGCCGCCCAAGCGTTCCTCGATGAGGAACACCCGGCCCGCGACAAACCGCACGACACGACAACAACAGCTATGTTCTAGGCAAAGCTAGCGGTCATAACGTCGTCATTGCTACCTTGCCTAACGGCCAATATGGCACAACCTCGGCAGCAACGGTCGCTAGAGATATGCTCCATAGCTTTCCGAATATGCGTATTGGGCTGATGGTAGGCATCGGTGGCGGCGCACCTAGCCAGAAGCATGACATTCGTCTCGGTGATATGGTCGTCAGTACCCCAAATAGTGGACGAGGAGGCGTGTTCTAGTACGACTTTGGCAAAACCATACAGAATTGCAAGTTCCAAGACACAGGGTTCTTGAACCAGCCGCCGTTGCTGGTACTCTCAGCCGTCACTACGCTTAAGGGCAAATATGAAATGAAAGGCCACCGGCTTATCGACGAAGTGGACAAGAAGATCGAGAAGATCAAGAAGAAGAGCGCATACAGACAACCTGCGCAAGCAAGCGACAGGCTATATAAGTCTAATATTGTACATTCTTCGAGCTGCTGCGATGACGTATGCGGCAATAATACCGCCAGTCTCATAGCCCGCCCTGAACGAGGCGAAGAAGATGACAACCCTGCTATTCACTACGGCTTGATTGCTAGCGGCAACCAGCTGATAAAGGACGCGCATATCCGGGACATATTGATAAAAGAGAAGGACGTTCTATGCTTCGAGATGGAGGCTGCTGGTCTGATGAACCACTTTCCGTGCCTTGTTATCCGGGGGATATGCGATTACTCCGACTCGCATAAGAACAAGGAGTGGCAGGACTTCGCGGCCATGATGGCGGCAGCTTATGCCAAGGATCTGTTATACCAGATTGCGCCAGACACTGTTGAGGCTGAGAAGCCCATCTCCAATTCCAGTTAGTTTGGCAAAACCCAACTCATTTGATTCTATCTGACTATGAACTAAGAGCGGGCGCACTTTGTTGTGCCATTCCGCCGCGACTCCGATTTTGTAAACCGGCCTGACATCTGGTCATGGATTGAAACGCGATACGCCGGATCTGAAATGTGCTTTGCTCTCGTGGGCCTCGGCGGATTTGGGTATGTTACACCGATTATTGTTAGAGACCTATATTGACAAAGCCACAGCAAGTCCCAGGTTGCCATACAGTTCCCTCACCAGGTCCACGATACCTTTCCCGAAACCAGCATCTTCTGGATCAATGCCAGCACGAGAGCGACCTTCCAAGACTCTTACCGTTCCATAGCAGAAGCTCTGGAGCTCCCTAATCGCCACGACCCTGGTGTTAACGTCCTAGCGCTGGTCCGCGACTGGCTGCAGAGAGAGGACGTGGGCCGGTGGCTGATGGTTGTCGACAATGCCGATGATGTTGAGATGCTCACCAAGATCAATGATCAAAAGGATGAGTCGATACCAATAGCGTCGTATCTCCCTATGACAGGCAACGGCAAGATCCTGGTCACGTCGCGCAGCAGGGATGCGGCAGAAAAGCTGACGGATAATGGCGAGATGATCCTGAGAGTTTCGAAAATGGAGACAATCCATGCACTGCAGCTACTCCAAAAGAAACTTGGCCAAGATGTTGACGAAACCGCCGCATTGCGCCTGGCTGATTTCCTCGGCCACATCCCACTCGCCTTGAACCAAGCAGCAGCGTACATATACAGACGACGTCGCACGACCATACAATCATACATGGACGAACTCCAAAGGAGTGAGAAGCGGAAAGACGCTCTGCTGCGTAGCGACAGAGGGGATGCCCGACGGTACCCCGGTGTGTCCAATTCTGTTGTTCTGACGTGGCAGTTGACGTTTGAGCAGATCAAACAGGAGCAGTCCCGGGCGGCCAACCTTCTATCGCTGATGAGCTGCTTCCAGGCACAAAACATCCCAGAATACATGTTGCACCACTATCACAGCGACTTTTCTAGTGTTGAGGAGAGCGATTTGGAGGACGACTTGGAGTTACTCCAGGGCTACTCTCTCGTCGCGATAACAGCTACAACGGGGTTCTGTGAGATGCACCCACTAGTACAATTTTGTACACAGGCCTGGATTCGGGATTTTGGTCTCCCAGAGCTGTGGAAGAGACGCTTCCTCAAATCCGCATCACAACATTTTCCATCGGGCGAGTTCGAAACATGGGAGCAGTGTCAAATGATAATGCCCCATGTACAACCACTGCTCAATCAAAAGCCATCAGAAGAAGGTGACCGCTTAGAATGGAGCAACTTAGCGACGAATGTTGCCCGTTACTTGTATTACCTGGGCGACTACTCTCGAGCGGAGGTGCTAGCACAAGACGCCGTGAGCATTCACATGCGAAGCCTAGGCCGACAACATCCCTTTACGCTGGAGAGCATGACCTACCTGGCGTCAACGTATCGAGAACAGGGGCGGTGGAAGGAGGCTGAGGAGCTACAGGTGCAAGTAATGGAGACGAGTAAAGTCGTATGTGGTATGGCTCATCCTGGCACGTATAGTATTATGGGCGACCTAGCAGCAACATACTATCGTCAAGAGCGGTGGGCAGAGGCAGAGGAGCTATATTTGCAGGTAATGGAGGCAAACCTGAGTTTATTTGGGGAAAAGCACCAAGAGACTCTCCGTGTTATGAGCGGTGTTGCGATGACATACAAAAGCCAAGGGCGGTGTGGGGAGGCTGGAGCGCTACTTGAGCGGGTGAGAGACATAAGCATGAAGGAACTTGGAGAGGAGCATCCACGCACACTGATACACATGGAAAACTTGGCATCAGTTTATGATAGCCAAAGGCGGTGGGAAGAGGCTGAGAAACTTCAGAAACAAGTAGTGAACGCTAGGGGAAAGGTCCTGGGAGAGAATCATCCCTTCACGCTGAATGGCACGAGGTATCTAGTATTGATATATGAGAAGCAAGGTAGATTCGAGGAGGCTTTAGATTTACAAGCGCAGGTGGTGGGCATACAGAAGAGAGTACTTGGAGAGGAGCATCTAGATACACTGGGAAGTATGGACAAGTTAGTGGATATGTTAGAAGAACAGGGTCGGTGGAAGGAGGCGGAGAGTCTAGAGGCGCAACTGCTGGAAACAAGAAAGAGGGTGCTTGGCGAGGAGCATCCGGATACGATAAGAAGTATGAACGTCATGAGAGTTCTAGCTTATTGCCAGGACCGATTGGAAGAGGCTAAAGAGTTTTTTATGCGAGTGGTAGAAATGGGAAAGGGGGTGTTTGGGAACACGCACTCTAACACACTAATTAGTATGTATAACCTAGCGTGGGTGCAAAAGAACTTGGGCGAACGGAAGAAGGCTGAAGAGCTGCTGGCCCAAGTGGTGGAAACGAGAAAGCGGGTGCATGGAGAGGGCCATCCACACACCAGACATTCCATCTCTTGTCTCACAGCCTAGAGACTAGAGGTTCAAGGAAAGGGCCACCAGTGACCATGATCTCTGAAATCATGGGGAACCTCAGTAGCTGTAGGAAAAAAGCATACATCGACACCGATATTTTCAATTGCGGGAGGGCTTGTGCCATATATTATCCTGCGTCTATCACTTTTGATACCGCCGTTTTCCAATGGTATTTAAGACGTGATTCTAGTTGTGTATGACCGCTTCGGGCAGGGCACCATGGCGTGATATGGAGGGTTCTTGGCTCAAGAAACAACAAAGTCAATTTCCTCGGCCACAACTTCTTCACCAGAAGCCATAAACCTATGTAGCCTGCTCGAAGAGTTCTAAAACGACTCCGTGGAGGCAAAGTCTCCAGTGTGGGACTGGACACTATTGTAGAGAACGTGCTCGAGCCGACGACAGTTTCTTGGAGTGAATGTACCGAGGGAAATCGCCACGTCTGGATCAGACCAAGACTCACCGCCGGCTACTCTATTCAGTCGGTACAGTGTCCGAATTTTGCGGCCTGGTATCCCCGACATTGGTATTGGTAGTCCCGTCCGTCTTGAGTCTACCGCCGAAGGCCATATCAAGAGCTGTATCAAGCCTTTGCTCGACAGGCAGGAGTCAGACTTCGCTTTGTCTCATCGCGATGGCGAAGGAGCGGCAATGGATGCCCACTTGATCCGTCATATGACAAGCGGTTGTCAGACGCCTCTCAGATGTCAAATTCTGGACTGATCGGGAGGTCACTCGCAACGAAGCCCTGGACGCTTCCCACGCTCGAGTTCGGTTCCGCTAGCTGTTGGCCGACAGTATCGCAGCGAGGCTGTGAGCGGTGCACATGCTTGCAATCTGCTGGTGAAAAGGGAGGATGGTGATACGATGCCCAAGACAATCATCAATATCCCTGAAGGGAGGTATCCGTTAGACTCGGCCGATTCGCCGCGGTGTTCATATGGACTGTCTCTTATTCAGCAAAACCACGCGTATGTCGAACCGCGAGACAGACAAGAGCTAGCGACGGGCCGCAGCCAAGATGTCTCGCTCGCACGCCGTGTGCTTGAGACACAATGCGTGTTGCTGAACCAGCTGGACGCTGTTCCGAGGCCGAACCCTGCCATGTTGTGCGCTGAGTCGAAACGTGTGTTACACCACGCACTCATTTGCCGTGAGACCTGCAGTAAAACAATAACATGCCAATGTGTATTACCATTCAAACCAAGGGCAGGACGGTAGTTGCTGATCCCCATGAGAGCCTGGCAGCGCAGTTGAGACCTGTCTGTTGATTTCAAGGGACCAGAATGTCTCTCGGAGCATCAGTCGGAGCAATAGGTTTGGGAGACCCTTGGGATACGAGTCTTGTGAAAAGCATCGCGGTACCGGGCAGTTTCTGGCGTGGGTGATGAGTATCGAGGACCATCGCAAGACGAAGCATCGGCAAGAGTCCAAATCGTTCGATACTCGGTGGTCTGCATGCGCAAAACAATGGCAGATTGGCTCGAGTTTCGCTGCTGCTCCCTTGGCCAGGCCATCTCGAAAAGATGAATGCAGAACCTCAAGCAACGTATCGGGCGCGTCAGGCAGTTCCTAAGTCTGCTGTCATCCGGTATCTCGGGCAGTCGAGTTCGGGCGTGGCAAAACAGAACGCGCGCTTCAAGCCAATAATGTAGGCGATTTCCCGTAGTAATCCAATTTGTCGACAAAAAGGGAATGGGAATATCAGCCGGGCGAGATCCTTCGTCCATTCAGCCACCAACATCGAGAACAGGTTCCGAGGGAACGGTCGCTAATATCTTGCGGCGCGAACAGCCTTCTGAGCTTCATCGTACCCCTGAGGCGTGCATGTTGGCTTATGCGGGCATCCAAGTCTGGGGTTGGCCGAGGCCATGCCGCCATCTCGACCCGACGAAAGACCTGCCTCTTGAAGCGGCGCGGAATGGGCTCCTTTTGCGGGGATGGCTGACTGACCCCAAAAAATTGTCCGAGATTTGCTTTTCGTTTGGTCAGATTGCCTTCACACACTCTCTTCCCCCTCCTCAGGCACAATGAGGTTTGGCGCCGGGCATTGGACCGAGAGGGCGGGTCAGATTTCCACTTACCTAGAATAGACAACCAGAAGCAGCGTCAAATATCCCACAGGTGACATCCAACTCGATCCCAGCCAGTCGCACGGCTTCCGATGGTAGATTTCCCAAACGGGACGCTGATGTCCAGAGTATGGAGAAATCGGCTGTGTGATCTACAGGCTGGTGTGGCGCCGAGCTTCCTGAGAGACGGGAGCTGCATGGTTCATTAAACTCCACAACTCTGTCAGTCCCGCCGCGTGATCGGAGGTTTTAGGGGACGATTGTCATTAAGAATTGTCGGTGAGATGAAGACTGAAAAGGGAACAATGCGACAAACGAGATCCATTGTTTGCCAAGACCCGCCGTTCCAGAGCAAACGCGCCGGCCAAGGGGCACGCAAAAGCTTCTCTACTCCAGCCTCTCGGTTGGCTTCAATGGCGCATAGAAATTGCATTCCAAATGTAAAGAAGCGGCGATGCTGGTGGTGTCTGTAGGTCTCACAGCCAAGAGATTAGACATGGCCTGGCCAAGCGGCCAGTGACAGCATGGTCGATGATGTGGTCATGTCAAATTACGCTGGACAGCCGATCCGATCAGGCCGCTGCCAAGAACCCGGAGGACAGACGGAGGCGGTCGACGGCGTGGCCTCGGGGCAACACTACCGCAAGCCGTGATGGTGACGGCGCTGGCAGTCCTGAATCGCGGCTGATTAAGGTTATCATTGCTCCTGTCAACGCAACCTTGCCATATGTGGTCCTCAGACGACTGGCGGAAAGTAGCCGTCGTCGTCCAAGTCATGCCGGCAATCAAACACATTCGGCCGGCCGTCGGTCAGGCAGCCCACGAGCAGGCATAACAAGACGTCATAAGGGTCAATCGACATGGGAGAGACGTTGGAGCCCTTGAGGGAGCATCAGACGATCTGGTGCGTCCACAATTGTGAAACGCGCGATTAGCAGCACGCTGGAGCCCTTGGCTTCCTCGTGGGGCCGGCTGGTACGCTGCTGATAAGTCCGACATGGATATCTCTGAGAGACAATTTGCGATGCTTTTCCGACGTTGAAACGGCTCTTCTTTGTTCTGGGTCGCCGATGAGGGGTTCCTTGACCTTGGTTCCTGGCTAATATCCGTCTGTCGAGGAGCCAACAAGACAATGGACATGGCTGGCACGCTCATGAATTTCCTGAATCGATGCCATCCCCGACACCCAAGCACAAAACAACTTAAAGTAGAGAGACACCGCAGTAGCGTTATTGACCGCCCGAGTGGCGGCCATCTAGGCGTGGCAATGGCATGGCTGCCACGGAATCCAGACTCACGATATGGAGTCCCAGAAGTAAAACGTCAAAAAACACAGACATCGGCGGGATGGGCGTGGCGGTCGGGGCTAAGCCGGTTCAGGCGGCATCAAGAAGTGCCGGGACAGTCTAACGAGACGAACTGGAGATTGAGATTGGCTTTTTGAGCTTGAAGGGACACGGTCAGTGGGCGCGATGGTCCGTGATTCTGACGTGTTGACAACGCTGATCTCGCAACGCTGGATGATGCCGCGGAGGATTTTCGCAAAAACCCAT